TTAAGTGTTGGGTAATAACTAGTTAAAACGTTAAAAGTTAAAAAAAAAAGTTAAAAAGTTAGTAACTTTTAACTTAGCTTAGTTAATTTTAAATGCATTAAATTTTAACTTAACTTTAAACGTTACTTTTAAACGTTAACTTAACTTTTTTAAGTTAAAAATTTTTTTTATCTTTTTTAAATGCCTTAGAAAAATAATAAAATATAATAAGACTAAAGGCGTATATTTGTAATCCGTTCATATTTTAAGACCTTCTTAAGATGTGCGTGCGTGCGTGCGTGCGTGCGTGCGTGCGTGTGTGTGAGTGTGTGTGTGTGTGTGCTAATACAGTCCTCTCTGATTGTCTTATGCCTTATGCCATAAGCCTTAGTCCGGATCTACAATAGGTGTTTTAAGTCATAAGAAATTGACCAATTTTATAGTCGAATACGAGGAGAATATTTGATTGTAATTGGTCCATTTTTTATGGCTTAAGGCTTATTAAAAAGTAAAAACCTAAAAAGTTATGTTATATCATATGTGAATAAAAAAATTAAAAATTTAATTTACTTAATAATCTATACTGTAGTTGTTATTTAATCTCATTTTAAGAAAAATTAGGATTTTGACATTTTGACCTCAAAAATCATTTTTTTCGAAACTAACTTTTTTTTAAGTTAAGTTAATTCAATATTAATTTAATTTTATTAATTTTGTAAAGCCATTAACTTTAACTTTATTCAGTTAAAAAAAACATTAACTTACCCAATCCTTAAGACATTACTTAAGATGGTTTTGAAATAAGAACCGACTGTGAATACCGGCCAATGATACATATATAATTTAGACTTTAGAGTGATACAATCTCAAGAGATGAGTGAAATATTGAAACTTAAAAATGTAAAAAATAAATTAGTGAAATTGCCGGTTAAACGGTCAAGCGAAAAAAAAAATTTGAACTTGCAAAGTAACACTAACATATTTTAATAACAAAGTAATTATACAAAACAAACTTTAATGTTATATCTTAATTGAGTTATCAGAAATAAGTATATTAACTGCCAATGTTAAAAATTATTATCATAAAGTACATATTATCAAAATGAAATATTCTAAAAATTGTCTTCCTGTTAAAATTAATAAAATGTCGGTAATTTCATATCTCTTATTTTTTGTAATAACTAATTGTAAGTAATTTTAACATCGCTCCAGGCTTAAAAAAAGGCTATTACAAAAAATAAGATATGTGAAATTACCGACATTTTATTGATTTTAACAGGAAGACAATTTTCAGAATTTTAAATCATATAAGAAAAAAAAATGTTACAGTTCGGTCGCTGATCGAACACTCATCATTTTTCAAAATGGTGCAACAAGAGGCGGTGATCGTAAAAAACGCCATAAAGCGTTATGGGAAAGGACAGTCGGTGCTTGACGGTCTGAATATGACCGTTTCAAGAGGTTCCATGTAAGTAATCGTTTTTTATAAGTCAATACAAAAAAATGAATTCTCTTTTTATTCATTTTCGAGTTGTAAACAAATAATAATCTAAATTTTTTAAAAGAAATAATTAAAAAGATCCTTTACAGAAGAGAAAACGATGCAATGAAATTATTAATTCGCGATTACTCGTGCGATTTTTAAACCTACATATAGCATATCTTTTACCCAACCTGATACTAATTTCTTCACCTTCGATATGTGGGAAATTACCTGAAATTGTCGTCACGCACATTTCCGCGTACATTCACCGATTGCTTAAATTGCCGCCGCTTGCAAAATACACGACAGGATAATCGTATAACTTTCTAACGAATATTTAGATAAGAAAATCTTTCGGAACTTATGAGAATCATTATAATCTTATCTAAAAAATCATAAAAATGAAAAGGTCAGGCCATGTTCAAAAAAAGATCCTCAAAAATTTAAACTTTTAAAAATTTAAATGATTATCTAAAATAATGTATTACCATGAAAAGTAACTAATATACTATTAATAAAGGTGCCAATTCAAAGTGAACATACATAAAGTGTATATTATCTAAATTTAATGATATATTACCATGAAAAATAACTGATATGATTCAAGGTGCAAGTTCAAAATGAAAATACAACATATAAGTAAAACAGATTACAATTTGATTCTAGAAAATAAGTGCGATATGTTATTCTTAGTGCACAAAATATAAAAGTCGTTTATTGAGATTTGATTTGAAATTTATACTAGCCCG